ATCAAATATTTTTGCGCTAAAACCTAATTTAGATGAATTATTAGATATTGTGTATAGAAACAAAATTAAAATCATCTTACTGTCAGAAACTAAGCTGAATAATAAGATAAAAAAAGTTAAAATTCCAAATTTTAAGCTCATCAGGGAAGACAGAACAGCAAAAGCTGGTGGTGGTGTAGCAGTGGCTGTCCACCACTCTTTGAAATACAAAGTAGTCCCCCATGAATTCCTCTCACTCACCGAATACGTTGGAGTGGAAGTTAGTATTAATAACAAACCCATTCGGTTATATTCAATATACAATCCCCCGGATATCCTTTTAGACACTAACCTCCTCACTATCCTACTGTCCACTAAACCCTCCACAATTATTGCCGGGGATTATAACGCAAAAAACTCTGTTTGGACTTCTGCTAAATCAAATGACTCAGGTAAAGCCCTCTCAAATTTCTTGAATAACCAAAATGCCTTCCTACTCTTCCCAGATGCCCCCACTCACTACCGTATAACTAACTCTCCCAGCACTATTGACCTCCTAACTAACAACAATCACATCGTTCAAAACTTCGATATTCTCCAAGAATCACCGTCTGACCACCTCCCACTTTTCCGGAAACCGGCCCCTTCACCCTCTTCAGTGAAACTGGATTTTACCAAAAATTGGTCTAAATTTAGAGAGGAAATTCACGATCATATTCCCTCGGCAAACCCGCAGTCCAATAGTGTCACCCAAATAGACGAAAACATCACGAACATTACAAATATCATAACTTCTGCTATCAACACCTCCACCCCTTCTCAATCTCCAAAATCCTTCGCTATCCCTCTACCTCCAGATATACTTTTGCTAATCAAGAAAAAAATTTTTATTCGTAATAAATGGCAAAAAAACCGAAACCCCTTCTTCAAATCATGGTTTAACTCACTAAATAAAGAAGTAAAAATCAAAATAACATCCTGGAAGCAAGCCAACTGGGAACATAAACTCAAGAACATAAACTTGAAAGATCACTTCATCTGGCGAATTGCTAAATTTTTTTAATAACGCTGGCACATCCTCTATCCCCACTTTAACAGCAAATAACGTCTCTTACACAGAAGATCATCAAAAAGCTAACATTCTCTGTCAACATTACGCCAATATCCATAAACTAGCAGCCAGCAGAGGCAACAAATCCTTTGAGGAACATGTCAATGCAGTGGTTAAAAAAAACATCCTAAATAACCCCGTTGAATCACCTAACTCCTTCCTAACTAGTCCACGAGAAGTGACTTCCCTCATTAAAAAACTCAAAAATAAATCTGCACCTGGTATTGATAATATACCTAACATTGTCCTGAAAAACATTCCTTTAAAAGCCATAGTTTTCATCACAAAAATTTTTAATGCCTGCCTGCTCCTCCACTATTTCCCTTCCTGTTGGAAAAGTGCAGTAGTTATCCCCATCCCTAAACCGGGAAAACCCCCTTCGCAACCGGTGAGCTACAGACCAGTTAGCCTTCTCCCAGTCCTAGCAAAACTACTTGAAAGAATCATCTTAATCAGACTCAATAAATCTGTACTTGAACTTAAAATCATACCAAAAGATCAATTTGGTTTTAGGTCGAATCATTCTACCTGCCACCAGCTTATTCGAATAACTAATGATATAAAAATCTCTAAAGATAAAAAAGAAGACACTGTTCTGCTAATATTAGACAGCGAAAAGGCATTTGATTCCGTGTGGACCACGGGGCTCATTTATAAATTAGATAGCTTTCATATTCCAGTTTACCTTTCAAAAATCCTAATTTCATACCTCACAAACAGATATATTCAAGTCAAAGTTGGATCCTCGTTGTCCAACAAAATCATTATTGCTGCTGGAGTCCCTCAAGGGTCAATCCTTTCTCCTGTTCTTTTTAACATATACATTGCTTCGGTCTTTAGCAGAATTCCATTGAATGTTTCAATTGCTGGTTACGCTGATGACATTGCACTTTACACCTCAAGCTCATCGGTCAATAAAGCAATCAAAAGAATTGAAAATGCTGCTTGCCTTGTCATCAATGAACTCACCAGATGGAAGATTAATGTTAATGCGGCTAAAACCGAAGCCATCATTTTCTCAAACACCAAAACCAAACTCACTTTGAATATTAGAAATAATTATATCTCACCATCTACCTCTGTAAAATACTTAGGCTTACAAATAGATTCCAAGCTACTATGGAAAAATCATATAGGAGCAATGAACGCCGAAGCTAAAGTAATTCTTATCAGACTTTACAATTTACTTAAATCTACAGATCTTAGTCTAAAACTCAAATTAACCTTATACAAAGGTCTCATTAGACCTATTATAATCTATAGCTGCCCTGCCTGGCACAACGCAGCCAAAACCCACCTGAACCACCTTCAAATCACACAGAACAAATTTCTTAGAATCATTGGAAATTTTAATCGAAAAACGTCCATCGACGATATCCATAAAAAGCTAGGTATGGCAACCATAGAGGAATTCATTGACAAATTAAATACAAATTTTAAACTCAACCTATCATCTCATGAAAACCAAAAACTTCGCGATATCAATATAGATAAAAAATCGCAATGGTCTCATTGACTAATCACAAATTACTTCCCTTTCCCCCCTCTCCCTTTCCTTATTCCCAATCTCCCCCCCCCCCCCACCACCACTCAAACCCTCGTTTACAAGGTTTCTTAGAAGTGATTTTTCCTTACTCATATTTTTCTATGTTCCTCAAAATCAATAAATGCAATGGAAAATTAATAACTCATCACTTGGATTAGATATGAAGCCTTAGGCTGGTGATCTAGATTGTAGGTTTAACATTGTATATACTGTATATAAGTGTATAAATCATTGAAGACAATAAATATTATTCAAGTCAAGTCAAGCAGGTAGCCCAGTGGATAGCGCGCTTGTCTACGGATGAGAAGGACCCCGGATCGAACCCCAGCAGGAGCAAATTTGTAAATGTTTGATTTCGTTGTATTTCAATTTCTAGGTGCGCGGTAATAATCCAGGACCAATAATTAATAGAAACTAATGATGATAATTATTTTTTACCATCCATTGTTAATTAACCGACAATCACAATCAACAACAACGCTTAGCAACAGTGATGTACGGGCCGACCGCACTCTTTTTCATAGGTTACTCTAAATTCATAAAAAGGGTTATGAAGCAATAAGATATTGTTTATACAAATATCTGTAAACAATACTCCAGTTTATTTACCCGAAGCTCGATTGAGTCTTTAAAATTTGATAATTCAAGGCTTGAATTAAGCCTTGGCACCAAGCCTCGTTCAAGCCTTGCGGACTAAGCCTGAAACGAGGTTATCATTTTAGGGCTGAAGGAGGATTGATCCAAGGCTGTGCTCCAGCCCTAATTGAGCATTTCCGAGCCTTGGCCCAGGGCTTGATGAGCTCTGTTTCTATCGTTAATTCTTACCTGGAATACTCCGTGCATCCACACCAAAAATGGCGTGCACTTGTTTTCACTCTTCGTAGTATGGATTCAGAGTCAAAATTCACTCTGAATTTTTTGCTGTGCAATTACATATATACTAATAATACCACAAACACTTTCTGTGTTGATCCATTAAATGCAAATGTAAAAATATTCTCCATATCATTCCAACCCCATTTGTCGTATCAGTGGGACAAATTTCACTGTTGGAAGTGACTTTGTCAGAGCGTTCGTCAACTGCTTACCTATTGAAACATATTTTAGTAAATTAGACCTTCTGAAATTCGTTCTTTCGATAAATTATATTTTGTATCAATATGTTTCGTTCTTTCGTGGTTCGTTGGATTATTCGCAATACTGATACAACCCATGGCCCCTCAATATTAATTATAATACGATTCGCCGACGACTTCAACCACAATGCTTCTTTTACTGTTTCATAAAGAGCCATGTACTCAGCTTTTGTTGATGAAGCTGCTATCGGTAACTGCCTTTTGGTATTCCAGTAAATTGTACAATTATTATACATTAGGAACAAAAATCTTGTACTTGGATTGAACTCGGATTCTAAATTCCACATACTGTATTTTTTTTTATTTGTATTAAATGGTATAAATTGCTTACTGAATTTTACTTCTGCCATCATTTCATTCTCAAGTAAACTTGTCACTTGAAATTATACTTTCAAACTGCTATTTCACTCATTTACACTATATACACAAAACTGCTAAAAACTACTTCGCGTACTGCGTTTGGACCCATAATCGATTAGAAATGGGATAATTTAAATAACCAAATCGGTAAATAAGTGAAAAGGAACTTAATTACTTTTACTTAATTTAATACGCTCTGAGGACACATCCACTCTTTACCAATTCTTCGGAAGAACTAATTAAATGACAAAGGGACTCCGCCCTGGACCTCTGGTGACGTGCACTTAATAGGTTCTATTCATTCAACTCAATTTAGACTTAGAAACCAAAGCATTCATACCTGAGTATAAACTTAGAGGGAAAAATATAAGGTTAATTTTTGCTTCGTACTATTTCAACCAAAACTTTAACATCTCCAATTATTTATTCATTCAATAAATTGTTCATTAATAATTGTTCATTTGCATTATTGTAAAAACATCTTGTAAATAGTTTTGATCCTGTAATTGGCCTCATGATATACGATCTCCATGAAAATCAAACTGAATTAGATGAACTGAAACAATTTCGCAATGAAAAAAGTTAGCAGCAACGGAACGAAATGGGTCATCCGCCTGTGTTATTCAGTACTTATTTCCCTGGCTATTCACTCCCACCAACTCCTTTCTCATTTTCGGACATCTGAATAATTCAAAAAGTTGAAGAACCAAGATATATAGGACGCCAACCAAGAATGGATTGACACACGAGTTTGACCGAATTGTTTGCTTGTATTATACACTCTGAAGAAGCCCAATAGTCCTATCTGCGCAGGTGTATACACTGGTGTGTATACCCCAGTGGCCCGTCGTTACCTTTCTTATTAACATCTCCGGCAAAGTTTCCAGTCACGCTAAGGATTGCGCGCGAGTACTGCGGGGGCTTAAGTGGGGTTTTTGTCACTGAGGTTACTGTCATTTACCGGCTATGGACACTTGAGAAGGTATTCCCGTCATTGTCAGACGTTTTATTTGAAACTGATAAACGTTTCGACGGAAGGATGAAATGGGTGAGGGGAGACAGGAACGTTCGTCGAAAAGGTAAATTCAGTTTTAAAGTATACAACTCTAATAGTATTGAATCATTCACACTTTTATAAATTGCCATTATTTGATACCATATAAGTTATCATTTTTTATACCTTTAATTCAATTCTTCCGACACTTAGTTTTGCAATTTTTGCAGCGAATTATCAAAATTTATCGAATTGAGATTTTAAAAAATTGGAGATGCCGGGGATCGAACCCGGGGCCTTTCACATGCAAAGCGAACGCTCTACCACTGAGCTACATCCCCGCTTAGCTACCTGTTTCAAAAACATTTTGAACTCTTGCGCGCACTGTCTTACCGCAACGGATGTAACTGCTATCTGCAACTATTAATTTCAACTAAATAATTAACCCTTAAAATCGAAGTACCGGCTTTTGCTGAATAAAGGAAAGTAGTGAGGGAATACAGTACTGTGCAAGGGGGAGGGGGGGGGGCAAACAGGAGGCGGGGGTGCTAGATTATTCGTATTAGCAGGATTGATTGAGGAAGGGAAATCAATGATTTCGCACGCTCATCATTTTTTAATTAGCTGGAAGGAAATTTAAAGATCGAGGCCACATGATTTACTCGCATTCGTCGCGATTGTGATCGATTGCTTGCGCGAAACGAAATTTGATGCCGATTTACTTACGGGAACTATAAACTATCTTGTGACCTCGATTAGGGGAATTGTAGGGCGATGAGATAAGGAAGTTTTACTCCCACTTCTGTTTTGTTTTTTTTTGTTTAATTGAATAACTTTCTGCAGGATACGGGGAATTAATGCTTGGATTAACCCGTTGGGATTGGACAAGAAATTGAAATGAAAAGTTGTAGGCATTCAGAAAAAGGAGCAATAAACTGAACAATGATTGTTTTCAGTATATGATGAGCGTATAACTTCGGTAAAGTTACTGTCATTGTCATTTTGTCATTCTAACATGGTACATTTTCAATCGGGAAAGGAGTGACTACAAAAATATTCTGAAGTTTCTATTATCTTCTATACCAATAAAATGGGAAAAACTCTGACAAAAATTTGATTTACGGATATACGGGCAAGTTTTGTGGTAGTTATAAGTTTTTCAATATTCCATTCAATTTATTGTTTCTAAAGAGTATATGGGTCTCTTGTAACAATTTTCGCATCGCTCTTATAAACTAAATGAAATAGGGTGGAGGGCTGCGCGTTACTACGTATGAAAATGGAGCTGTTGAGAATTGGCACGTGCCATTTAACTGTCTAGTACTAGACAGTTAGATAGTTAAGGCGATGTGTATAAATTAATCAAAGCTTAACTCCACCCCGCCGGGTAAAAGTAAACTTAAGTTAAAGGATAATAAATACATAGATACTTAATAACAACGAGAGTCTCATTCAACAAAAAAATGAACAGAGTGGATCATAGAGAAAAAATCATAGTGGCACACCCGAGAACACTCAACCCTGTCGTATCGAAAGAGTAGAATAGATGAAGACAAATCACAGAACAAATCAGAAATCTCATACACGTACAATGCTAGGTCCAATCACACTCTCGTTTTTAAACAATTGATAACAAAGTATAGCTCAAAAGTTTGATGAACTTCCAGTCGCAATTACAAAGTACTTCAGTCAGAAAAAATAGTACTAAAAACAGGTAGTTATAAGTTTTGGAATTCATCAATGTGCATTAGGAATAATTCTTCAAATTTGAATTGATATGCATCACATCTACGATTGATTTATTTCATTTCAAGAAATGCAAAAAGTTCACCCGATTCTCCTATTCGCATTACCACTTTTTTTCAACAATGCAATTCGAGATCAATATATACGAGGTATTCCATCCCAAATGAGTCAACGGTTGACCCTCCCCCTCTTGAAAATTGATGGCGATTTTTTCTACGATTGGGGGGCTTGAAAAACTATCTCTCAAATTTTTTAAGATTTTTTTGACAGCCCAGTTCGGAGATATTTTTTTTTTTCAAATTGATCGTTTTTTTTACAATAACTCGAGTTCTACTCATCCGATTTCGATTTATTAGGGATCAAAATTTTACATTTTTCACCACCTATAAGAATGTTTTTTGTCCAAATTTTTTCCCATCTCTAGATGCTGGAAATAACGACTTTTCGAAAAAAAAGTGGAAAAACTTGAATTTGGCTAATTACGTCACGGTTGATTATTTTAAATTTTTTTCAGTAATTCCTATAATCAAAACAAATATTTTGAGCCATCATACATGTTGGATTTCATCTTAGAATAGAATAGAATATGCGCGGCTGGTCACTTAAAGCGCCCAGAGTCACCTAAATCATACGATCTTTTGTAACATCTGGGGGCATTCACATAAAATGTGGATGACGCTTTCCTTATCGCCTCCGCACAGTCTGCAGTCTTCTTGTTCTGCAAGTTTCATCTTGAACAGATGAGCTCTGCGAACTGTCTGACCCGTAAGGAGCCCTACTGCTACCCTCAGATCCTCTCTNCCTGGCCCCAGATTTTATAGCGACGGAGTGCTAATAGGGGGCATTCACATAAAATGTGGATGACGCCCTCCTTATCGCCTCCGCACAGTCTGCAGTCTTCTTGTTCTGCAAGTTTCATCTTGAACAGATGAGCTCTGAGAGCTGTATGACCCGTAAGGAGCCCTACTGCTACCCTCAGATCCTCTCTGTGCAGCTCCAGAAGCTTTCTGGTTCTAACTTTTAGTTGCCCCCTCATAAGCAGTTTCGCTTGTCTACAGGTCGCAACTTTCTCCCAACACCTGACATGATCTCGCTGGAAATGATCTTTAATAAGAGTTTTTCCCACTGCGAAGGGCATGCCAAGCAG